TTAGTTTATAATCAGGCAAAAAATCATTGGCTTTGAATAACAGAACTACACTGGAGAATGGCTAGTATGAAGGAAGATAAATTTCATTTTCAAATTCCTCAAAAATGCGCAAGTGTGGACTGCTTAAATTATCAGTAATTCATAGTTTGATTCTCCAGCTGTCCAGTTGGCAAATGTTCGCTTTTTTTGGTAGTCAGACTGCTAGCGGTTCGTTTCTTGTGCTGAATTGTTTATCAGACCTTTTGGCAGAAGCAAAGGCTTTAGCCGTTTCGGGTTATTCTTGGTGTACTTTTTGCGTTATCCCTTATATCAAGCATGGTCCCCCTCCTCCTCACCGGCCCTCTGCCCTCCTCCCGTAGAATGCAAAGAGATACCTTGCCGGCTGTGAGAAGGACCGTTATTGTCACAAAAAAGTACCTTTACTGCCACTATTTAATTGTTGAACTTTTTTCATCATTATACTTTTTTTGCGCTGCAGCTATTGCAGCTGGCAATATTCTCTTTCACCGAGGCATATTAATATAACATTGTAGCAGTAAAGCTGTTTTTATGAGTTTTGTGCTGTGTAACAGCGGTACAAAACCCATACTGTCACAGGGTTGTGTGTGTGTGTGTGTGTGTGTATGTGTGTGTGTCCGTAGCAATTTGCCCGCAACTTTCAACTGGGGAACTATAAAAGCTAGGAAGCTGAAAATTTTGGGTAACGTTCCCCACCCACGTGTGACCCCGCAAATTTAAGTTCAGCCTCCCCGTACCCGCGGGTGACACGTATGGCCCCGTGAAAGTTTTTTGCGGGTAAATTAATATCTCGGGAACCACAGAGTCTAGGAGGCTGAAATTTTAGGATAATAACCCCCTGCCCACACTCAACCTTGCCCATTCAAATTCAGCGTTCCCGCGCTCTCGGGTACCACCTACGGGCCAGTGAAATTTTTCACGCGTAAATTATTATCTCGGGAACCTCGAGGTCTAGGGAGCTGAAATTTTAGGGTAATGATTTTAGGGCCCACGCCCAACCTTGCCAG